GGAGTTAGGGTCCCGAGTTACCAATACGAAGTAGTATTCGTACGGAAGAACATACACAGAATTTGCTGGAGGGCAGGCTCATCGGCGAAACAATAATTCTAGCAACTGCGTGAGGTAACTGATTTCTTCTGCGGACGAGCCGAGAGAACAGCAAAGTATAGCAAAGTAGCAGACGCAGTCGCGGGACTTTGAAACAGGGGTTGTTTGATCTGCGATGTCGTTGAATTCTCGGCTGTCCGGGAGACGCCGCGTCGTTGGTGGGGTTGCCGAATATACAGAAACCGCAACGACGCGGCGTCTCGGACAGCCGAGAATTCATGATTCGAGCCGCGAAGCTTACGTACACATTATGGTCGTTGACAAAACGACATAGCGAGTACCTTGCGAGTGAAGTAAGACGAGACAGAACAGCGAAGCATCGCAATTGTACGGTGAAGAGGAAATCGCGTTTTCGATACTCGGGAGACGAAATCGGCGAGACGCGAGAACGCCTTGTAGATTCTAAGAGGAAAATCCTCGTTTTTGCGGCTAAACAAATGAATGCGGGCAAGGCAGTGAAAACGCGCTGTAACGTCGGAGAAGGGCTCAATTTGCAGACTTAGAGAGTAGGTGCAAACATGCAGAGATATGCGCCGTTCGCTAAACATATAAACTAGTCTGAACGCCACTAATGAGCATACGATCAAAGTCGGAGTTAAATCACCATTAAAAGGCTCCTATAGAGTACCTGGTATGCGCAACCGAGAAATCTCAGAGAACTGCCTATGTGACCGTGTTACGCAGGGTATAATTTATCTTAACTATATTCATGGTTGGGCGCCGATTATTGTAGTAAAAAATAATTCTCAGCAGCTCGAGGTGCTCATGGCGACGATCGACTGAGTTCTGGGGTGTACGCAGCTGGTAATGATGTAACGTGTACTTGTAGCAAGGGCACAGAATAAATTACGTTTTATAATGGAACTCAGTTGTTCATCATTATCGTCCATTGCAGACACCACTCCTTATGTTCCATGAAAATATTCATCAATCCAGTAAGTAAAAACTGAAACTGGAATTCTTCGGTATCATTATTTCTCTTTTTGTATATTCAACGCAGACCTTCAGTTTGCGTACTGAGCCTTCCATATGGCTGTGAGGGTAAAGGACTGTGTGCGTCACAGGGAGCAGCAGGGGAACACAGGGCAGCAGTGAATCAAACCTCGTCATTCCAGATGGATCCAGCGCAGAGAGAAAATACTAGATGTCTATGTACCGATGGTGAAAGATGCATCTCAAGACAGCGTTTCGCGTGAAGGCTTTAATGTTCGAAACTCCTCGATTAGGGTTTCGGACGTTCGTCCTCCTTGGTACTTTGGTAATTAGTCAATAAGTGTGAACATGCTATATCAAGAGGTACCGATGGTTTCGCACCCGCCCTGGACAGAAGATTTGGTCATGTGTCGAGTTTTCTATCCTATGATGGCCTTTGCCTAACGTCGCACTGCCCCAACCTGGGAAAAAAAAAAAAAAAAAAAAAAAAAAAAAAAGAAGAACCAAAAGAAAAAAGAAAAAACCCAGCGCAAGTTTCTCGGCTACACTCGTCATATGTTCCGGTGTATCATGTAGTTATAAGGGTGGGGAGAGAAGGGGACAAGAATGAAGAAAGGAAATGATCGCGCTCGGTGCTTTGTCGGTGTTTACTTTAATGACCTTTCGGCATTCCAAGTGTACTGATCGGAGAAACCACGCAAAACTACGATAGAGCAGCCGGTTGCTGAATTCTTCTTGAAGCGCGGCTCGATTGCTGTAATTGTGACAAAAATTCGACACCTGAGTACTGAACCTAGACCTTCAACTGCAGTGACAATAGCGATACCCTAAGCCATCTTCCTAGGGAGGAATTGATTTTCGCGCTCTTCGCGCATCCGGGTTAGTCAGGCCGTCAGTAGCTCGGCCATTCAAGTGTTAAGTACTGTAATGCGCCAAGTCTAATCTATGTAGTGCCGCTGACCAGGAGGCCTAGGGTTGGATTGTGACGATTGGCAGAAATTTATTGCCACACACTATAGTAGCTATGAGACTTCATCTGTTCTCTGAACGAGAATTTAAGCGGGTGGAATGCACTTTCAGTAGTTTCCGTGGTTTCTCGGTCAACAAAAGCAAATGTGCTATCCAGACCTTTTTTCTTACAGTATACTTTACATACATACCATTACATACAGGCATTTTCCTCGTACATCATATTCGGGAAAGCGTCGGGAGTTAGAGCTGTCTCGGCCTGACCGATTCGCCGGGTGGGAGATATTAAACGCGCAACTCGTCTTCATTCCGGATGAAACCTGCCCCGACTCATTTACAAACATTCGTTTAATTCTGATGCACATGAGAGCAGCAGCTTTTGTTAAATCAATAACCAGCATGGTTCGCTCCTGTAGATAGAATACTATTTTGTTATCGAACAATTTGGCCACAAATTGCATCTAATAGTCCTGCCGAACAAAATAATCAACATCCAGCTCTCTTACATTTAGGAAAAGTGAGGCTTAAGAAACCGCACGGGGAAATACCTAGGTGGGAAACACGCAATCCGACTTGTTGGACGGCGCCAATGCTAACCATTCAGCTGAGGAAGAGCACGCACCTCCGGATATACACAGCATTGCGCTACTTGGCTGCGACTAATGACCGCATCGGTGATGCGCTCGAAACACAAAAATGAATCAATTTGACAATGAGTAGTACTTTGAAAAGACGTCGACACGACGACGGCCGGAGGGAGCAAGCGCGGCGGCAGCTGCAAGCGCTGCGGCGCGGCGCGCACGCGCTTCTGGCGGGCCGCCGTGCCGAGAGAAGCGGCGAGGCGCGGCTCAGCGCTGCTGCCAGCGACGCAACGCGCAGCCATCGCGCCACGCGAGCGCATACGTCTCCGCGAGCGGCGCCCGCCACGTCGCGCACACGTCGCGCCCAACCGCGCACGGCAGCGACTGCACGCAGCACGCCGGTTCCTTACTCGCTCGTCGACGGCCTTGCGCGCGGCGCGCACAGACAAAATGCAAATACCAAGAACACAAGATGGCCTGTATACTATGCCTTAATCTAGAGTAATCCAAGTACCAGGAAATGAAGTATGTGATAGGAGCTGCTATTGTGAAGAAAGAATGTTTCTTTCTGGAAATAGCTCATTATGGCATAGAAATATGGCAACAGTATTTGTGTACCGTGCACTAAGCCACGATAAACTCACGGAGGACTGAAATGAATGATTGGGAAAGTACTTCTTCACTCCGAAACGTAACGGCTCGCTCGTAACTAAAACAATATTAGGTGTTAACAGATCTTCAATTCTGAAAGAATCTAGGAACTACGAGCGTACCATGTTCGTATATTACCTTATCGATTACTAATGGCACATTTCCCTGACTCACTATCTGCGGATTGTGCCTAGAAGCTCTTTCAATTGCCGAACGGTAATTTGAAAAGGGATGTTGATGCTACTCTCGAGTTCCGACCTCAGGGTGGTTGCTGAATGGCAAAGAACACCGTATTTCCGCCGAACGAAAATGTCGAGGAGTGAGCTCGGTGGTCGTAAATTCTATATACATAAGGGGGTAAAGTGGAACCCTGCCTCGGCCCATAAGTTTGCGGCAGTGTTGCCCTTGTGTATATCCATGCGGCGAGCTCCATACGTGCACAGAAAGAATTTTGTACCGCCATCTGTGGCGTTGTTGCCCACTGTGCATACCCTTGCGGTGAGTCAGTACGTTTATGGTTCAGGTCGCAAACGCGTAGCTCCCAGCAATCGCTTCCTCTTGATTTTCCAAAGCTACAGCTTCTAGGATTGTTTAGGTACTGAAACGAACTGACCTATTTCCTCTCTCAGATCTGCAAAAAATTGAGCCAACAAACTTTCCTTGAACATTACCTTGATCGCAGCTGCGTCGGGTTTACTGTAGCAGCTACATAGCTGTCGCTGTAGCAACGCGAATCTGCTGGAGAAGTTTCTGGTATATTCCGGGTGCTCACGAGTAGAATCGTTAAACAGTTTTTGTAAAGTAGGCCACGATACTTTTGGGATGAAAACGTCTTTTATTTACCTACAAAAATCCGAATAGGACTACTACGTACGATTTGCTTCCTGAAAATTCCGATGCAACAACGGCCAGTGGAAAGCGGGCCACGCGTAGTTTGGGGATCTCATTGCAATTACTAAAGTTGTTCACTATCCCGAGACGTTCTAAAAAGTTTCAATGTAGATACGGCCCTCGCCACTGACAGATCTCACCAGTTGATATGTTAGCTTGTATGTAAAGGGTTCTGTCGCCTTCAATTGTTAATATAGGGGGTTAAAAATCCTGGCAAGGGAATCTGCTGATTGCCTCGTGACATGTTATTGCTTAATCAATCTCGCGTGAAAAATTGTGAATGCGAAGATGAGGCAAAGAAAAAAATTATTATATTTAATTTTGAAAGATATTTTTTGGTGTTAATATTTCTAGCTGAAATGATCATTCAAGCTGGAAAGGCATATGTCGATATGGGTCTCATGATGTTTTTGTAAATAATTAATTTGGTTTCATTTTTTAAAGAGGATACTGATTTGATGAATGAATATAGTTTGACAGCTTTTGATGTTGCTTCTTGTAGAACTGACGTAATGTCTAGAACTTCAATATAATTAATAGGAGTGGAATTGTTTGACCAGGGGAGTTGGGAGTTATTAGAGGTGATAGGTTTTTGTGTTTTATGAGGGTGAAGATTTTTGTTTGCGTTTTTTTATTGTTGTGGTATTAATCTTCAGTCGCCATTTTTGAAAACAACTAGTGAGGATGTGAATGTTTTATCAATAATCATCTATTCTTTCCAGGGACGTTTGTACACGCTGATGACACACCCAACTTTCTATCCTGAAATAGATACATTGGAACAACTAGTCGACTCAGGAATGCCCGTGATGACCTGGAGAGTCGGGGTGATGCAGAAACTCGCTCACCCAAACCCTGCCTTATCCGTCAGTGCCATAGAAATGACAACACTAAAAAGACTGACCAAGCAGCTTCGACTGGAAGGAAACGCGATGAGCGTCGTGCAGCGGCTAGACGGGCACGACGTGCACGCTGTGATAGACGTCGCCACTGATGTGAAGCAATTGCTTTTAACGTACCCGCGACTCGGCATACGATACCATATCTTGAAACAGGGTGTTCATGTTTTTTATTCTGCCCTGTTTGTTCGCAGGTAAGTCTTAAACGATGCTGCTTTCTTGCAGGAAGAAATAAGCAATTCCTGTAAAACTAAATAACTCATTTAGGACACTTCGAATTTTTTAAATAAAACTGATTTTCTGTTATTTTTACACTTAAGATCCTAGATTCTTTCAGAATTGAAGATCTGTTAACACCTAATATTGTTTTAGTTACGAGCGAGCCGTTACGTTTCGGAGTGAAGAAGTACTTTCCCAATCATTCATTTCAGTCCTCCGTGAGTTTATCGTGGCTTAGTGCACGGTACACAAATACTGTTGCCATATTTCTATGCCATAATGAGCTATTTCCAGAAAGAAACATTCTTTCTTCACAATAGCAGCTCCTATCACATACTTCATTTCCTGGTACTTGGATTACTCTAGATTAAGGCATAGTATACAGGCCATCTTGTGTTCTTGGTATTTGCATTTTGTCTGTGCGCGCCGCGCGCAAGGCCGTCGACGAGCGAGTAAGGAACCGGCGTGCTGCGTGCAGTCGCTGCCGTGCGCGGTTGGGCGCGACGTGTGCGCGACGTGGCGGGCGCCGCTCGCGGAGACGTATGCGCTCGCGTGGCGCGATGGCTGCGCGTTGCGTCGCTGGCAGCAGCGCTGAGCCGCGCCTCGCCGCTTCTCTCGGCACGGCGGCCCGCCAGAAGCGCGTGCGCGCCGCGCCGCAGCGCTTGCAGCTGCCGCCGCGCTTGCTCCCTCCGGCCGTCGTCGTGTCGACGTCTTTTCAAAGTACTACTCATTGTCAAATTGATTCATTTTTGTGTTTCGAGCGCATCACCGATGCGGTCATTAGTCGCAGCCAAGTAGCGCAATGCTGTGTATATCCGGAGGTGCGTGCTCTTCCTCAGCTGAATGGTTAGCATTGGCGCCGTCCAACAAGTCGGATTGCGTGTTTCCCACCTAGGTATTTCCCCGTGCGGTTTCTTAAGCCTCACTTTTCCTAAATGTAAGAGAGCTGGATGTTGATTATTTTGTCGCGCAGACTATTAGATGCAATTTGTGGCCAATTTTCGATAACAAAAATAGTATCTATTACACGGAGCGAACATTCTGGTTAATTGGATTTGAAAACAAAAAGCTTGCTGCTCTCATGTGCCATCAGAATTAAAAACGATTTTGTAAATGCAGTGGGGGCAGGTTTCACCGGAATTGAAGACGAGTGCGCGTTTAATATCTCCCACCCGCGAATCGGTCAGGCCGAGGACAGCTCTAACTCCCGACGCTTTCCCGAATATGTATGTACGAGGAAAATGCCTGTATGTAATGTATGTATGTAAAAGTATATGTTAAGAAAAAAGGTCTGGATAGCAACATTTTGCTTTGTTGTTGACCAGGAGAAACCACCGGAAAACTACTGGAAAGTGCATTCCACCGCTAAAGATTCTCGTTCAGAGAACAGTATGAAGTCGTCAAGCTACTATAGTGTGTGGCAATAATTCTGCCAATCGTCACGAATCCAACCCTAGGCCTCCTGGTCCAGCGGCACTACATAGATTAACTTGGCGCATTACAGACTTACACTTGAATGGCCGAGCTACTGACGCCTGACTAAACCGACGGTGCGCGAAGAGCGCGAAAATCAATTCCTCCTAGAGATGGCTTAGGTATCGCCTATTGTCATGCAGTGCGAAGGTCTAGGGTTCGAGTACTCAGGTGTCGAATTTTTGTCACCAATTACAGCAATTCAGCCCGCTTCAAGAAGAATTCAGCAACCGCTGCTCTATCGTAGTTTTGCGTGGTTTCTCCAAATCAGTACACTTGGAATGCCGAAAGGTCATTAAAGTAAACACCGGACAAAGCACGAGCGCGATCATTCCTTTCTCATTCTTGTCCCCTTCTCTCCCCACCCCTTATAACTTACATGATTACACGGAACATTTATACGGAGTGTAGCCGAGAAAAACTTGCGCGGTTTTCTTCTTTGGTTTCTTTTTTTTTTTTTTTCCAGGTTGGGGCATGCACGTTGGCAAAGGCCATCATAGGATAGAAAACTCCGACACATGACCAAATCTTCTGTCCAGGCGGGTGAACGAAAATCGTACTTCTCTTGACTATAGCATGTTCCACAACTTATTGACTAATTACCAAAGTACCAAGGAGGACGACGTCCGGAAACCCTAATCAGGAGGAGTTCGAACATTAAGCCTTCAACGCGAAACGCTGTCTGAGATGCATCTTTCACCATCGGTACATAGACATCTAAGATTTTCTCTCTGCGCTGTGATGCCATCTGAGCATACGGAGGTTTGATCACTGCTGCCCCTGTGTTCCCCTGCTGCTCCTGTGACGCACACAGTCCTTTTACCCTCACAGCCATATGGAAGCTGCAGTACGCAAACTGAAGTTCTGCGTTGAATATACAAAAAGAGATAATAATGATACCGAAAAGAAATTCCAGGGTTTTTTCCAGTTTTTACTTTACTTTTTGGGATTTGATGAATATTGTCATGGAGACATAAGGGGAGGTGTCTGCAATGGATAATGAATGAACAACTGAGTTCAATTACTAAACACGTAATTTATTCTGTGCCCTTGCTACAAGTACACCGATTAACATCATTACCAGCTGCGTACACCCCAGAACTCAAGTCAGCGTATCCGCCATGAGCACCTGACGAGCTGCTGAGATTATTTTTTACTTACAATAATCGGCGCCAAACCATGCAATAGTAGTTAAATAAATTTAACCCTGCGTAACACGGTCACATAGGCGTTCTCTGAGATTTCTCGGTTGCGCATACAGGTACTCTATAGGAGGCCTTTTTTAATGGTGATTTAACTCCTGACTTTGATCGTATGCTCATTAGTGCGTTCAGACTAGTTTATATGTTTGAGCGAACGGCGCATATCTCTGCATGTTTGCACCTACTCTTCTAAGTCTGCAAAATTGAGCCCCTCTCCGGACGTACAAGCGCGTATTTCCACTGCCTTGCCGCGCATTCATTGTTTAGCCGCAATAAACGAGGATTTCCTCTTAGAATCTACAAGGCGTTCCGCGTCTCGCCCTGTTTGTCTCCCGAGTTCAGAAAACGCGATTTCCTCCTTCAGCCGTACAATTGCGATCCTTCGCTGCTTCTTCTCGTTTACTTCACTCGCAGGTATCTCCGCCTATGTCGTTTTTTTTGTCAACGACCATATTGTGTACGTAAGCTTCGCGAGCTCGAATCATGAATTCTCGCTGTCCGGGAACGCGCGCGTGGCGTGCGGTGTTCTGGATATTCGCAACCCCACCAAGCGACGCGGCGTCTCTCCCGGACAGCCGAGAATTCAACGACATACGCAGATCCAACAACCCCTGTTCAAAGTCCCCGCAGACTGCGTCTGCTACCTTTGCTATACTTTGCTGTTCTCTCGGCTCGTCCGCAGAAGAAATCAGTTCACCCACGCAGTTGCTAAATTATTTGTTTCGCCCGATGAGCCTGCCCCTCCAGCATAATTCTGTGTATTGTTCTTCCGTAACGAAAATTACTACTTCCAGTATTGGTAACTCGGGACCCTAACTCCACTACGAGCGTAACCATGTTCGTATATTACCTATCGATTACATAATGCACATTTCCCTTGACTCACTATCTGCGGTTGGCTCTAAGAACTCTTTCAATTGCCGAACCGTAATTGAAAAGGGATGTTGATGCTACTCTCGAGTTCCACCTCAGGTGGTGCTGAATGCAAAAGAACACCGGATTTCGCCGACGAAAATGCGAGGAGTGAGCTCGTGGTCGTAAATTCTATATACATAAGGGGTAAATGGAACCCTGCCTCGGCCCATAAGCTTTGCGGCAGTGTTCCCTTGTGTATCCATGCGGCGAGCTCCATACGTGCACAGAAAGAATTTAGTACCGCCATGCTGTGGCGTTGTTGCCCCACTGTGCCATACCCTGGCGGGTTCAGTACGTTATGTTCAGTCGCAAACGCGTAGCTCCAGCAATGCCTCCTCCTTGATTTTCCAAAGCTACAGCTTCTAGGATTGTTTATACTGAAACGAACTGACCCTATTTCCTCTCTTCAGATCTGCAAAAAAATTGACGCAACAAAACTTCCTTAACATTACTTATCCGCAGCTGCGTCGGGGTTACTGAGCAGCTACATTAGCTGTCCCCTGTAGCAACCCCGAAATCTGCTGGAGAATTTCTGGTATATTCCGGTTGCTCACGATAGAATCGTTAAAACAGTTTTGTAAAGTAGGCACCATACTTTTGGGATGAAAACGTCTTTTATTTACCTACAAAAATCCGAATAGACTACTACGTACGAGTTTGCTCCTAAAAATTCGATGCAACAACAGGCCCAGTGAAAACGGGCCACGCGTAGTTTGGGGTCTCATTGCAATAACTAAAGTTTGCTTCACTATCCCGAGGACTTCTAAAAAGTTTCAATTGTAAGATTACGCCCTCGGCCACTGACAGATCTGACAGTTGATATGTTAGCTTGTATGTAAGGGTTCTGTCGCTTCAATTTGTTAATATAGGGTGGTTAAAATCCTGGGCAAGCGGAATCTGCTGATTTGCCATCGTTACATGTATATGCTTAATCAAGTCTCGCCCGTAGAAAATGGAATGCGAAGATTGAGGCAAAGAAAAACATTATTATATTAATTTTGAAAATAATTTTTTGGTTAATATTTCTACTGAATGATATCATTCCCCAAACTGGAAGCATATAGTCCGAATGGTCTCATGGATGTTTTTGTAAATAATTAATTTTGTTCATTTTTAAAGAGGATAACTGATTGATGAATGAATATAGTTTGACAGCTTTGATGATTGCTTCTTGTAAACTAGACGAATGTCTAGACTTCAATATAATTAATAGGAGTGAATTGTTGACCAGGGAAGTGAGTTAGTAGAGTGATAGGTTTATTGTGTTTTATGGGTTGACAGATTTTGTTTGCGTGTTTGTTATTGTTGTGGTATTAAATCTTCAGTCGCCCAATTTTGATGAAAACAACTAGTTGAGGATGTGAATGTTTATCAATAATCTATTA